TTGAAAATAGAAAAACCCATAAACACTGTTTTGTGATCACAGAGGAGGATAATCTTCAGATATTGTTCACTTTCGTTCCGTTTAATAACGGTTTCGTAAATTCGTCAAACCATTGATTAGCTCAGATTGTGGGAGGTTGTAAGAACATTAAAAGAATATTTATTGTTCTATTTCATTTCTTAAACAAATTCCTTACTTTTCAACAATGTGCATGAGTATGCCTTCGTTTACCGAGCTGATTCTGAATGTGATCTTGATCACGTGGTTGAGAGCGTTGCTGTCTACAAATTAACAGAATTTCGGAGAAGTGTTAAGAGATTCAATTCTGCAGTTGAAAGACTTTTCACAATTTGATTTATCAAGAGAAACTATCAGAAGTATTTTCTGTGAGTTGTCAAGACCTCTGCTGGAAATTAACTTTATTCGAATAAGGTTATTTCAACCAGCATTTAACTGAAGGAGGAACTGATAATACATTACGTTGGAGATTTACCATTAATTGTCCCATCTGTACTTTAACTTAACCGTCAACTTACAACAAACATCCCATGTCTACAATAGATTCAGCAGATAGTAAAATACCTCGCCAGTCGTGATCGTCTTGGCATGACCGTTCCTTGTTCAATTTTTGATCTCCCCTATCGCCTGCAATGGACTGTACTTACACGCACAGAGCGTTAGATCGCTATTTGCGTGTGAGATATCGTGTTATATATCATGTCGTATCGTGATTGAACGCTGGAAGATGAATTGTTACACGAATTAGCTCTCTGATTCTTCTTATCAACACACATATACTTATTTATTGTCAGACATGGCTGTAGTGTCTAGGAAGCAAAGGTAACTCACAAGTACCTCAGCGTATATGTTACGTCCTCAAGCTGATAATTCTACCAAACACAAGTTTCTGTATTCACAGTTTCAAGGCTTGTGTATAGACAGCAATGTACGGTATTTTGATTTACACAAGAATCTATTAACTATTTGTTCGAAATGTGTTATTTTGTCCACAAAATTACAACCAAATGTCACTTTGAATGGAAAGTAATCATAATTTCACGGCATATCGTTTGATATCAAATAATGCTAATAAATATCACCAACTTAACCTACAAGAAAAGAAATATCCGGGCTATTTTCTGTGTATTATATATAATTTATTCAAGTAACACATACCATAATAAATATTGAAGAGAAAACCGTTATAAAGTCTGTCTTCTCCCCGCGTTTAATCCACATTGCTTCAGTTTTAATACCGTCTGTTGATATAGAGAAACGGCGTTGTCATTCTCTAATACTTACTAGTCATACATGTTAATACTGTAATACAATAGACCATAATTCCAAAACACTTGTCTGATCAGAGCACCGTGAAGTAGCGTTGGCTTCTCGCATTCAATTATTTTTGTATTATATATAAGATCAATTTACTACATAAGTATTCATAACGCATTGATGTTAAGACCAACAACACGTGTTCAACAAGCAATACATCTTAATTAGATTTCACTTTAAATGTAGTTGAATTCCGCGTGGTCACGTGATTAACAGTAAGTCGGTTTGAATGGTCAGTATGACGTCAGCATTGTCACATATTAGTATTTCTATTCATAGGATGTGATGTTTTTATGATAAAAGACTTGCATGATAGTCATCATAACTGTAGATGCGTTGTTGATATTTTTGAATTCCAAAGTTAATATGAAAATTTATCACATGATTGATCGTTAAATAACACTGAATTTTTATTGCATCTCTGCTCCTAGACAAGGTATCGTTTCACTTTAAAATAATACTTTATATTTAAAAATGCTTGTAGAGCTGAAGTAATTTTCAGTCTTATGTAACAGTGTTCTGCTGATCATTCACTTGTGTAATCGCCTTTTACTGTACAACATGTCGGCAGATAAAGTCAGAATCTGGGCAATAGCATCCAATCTTCTCATCCTCATATAAACAAAAATAGAAATTCTCGAAGTATATTATGGATTTTTCATTCTTAAGTTCAACAGCCAATAGCTGCCCTGCGGTTAAACACTAGCTATCTATTTCAATTTTTGATATCCTGGACAAGAGATTGATGGATGCAAAGACTAATTTCATAATGCGAAGGTTCCCTGCTATAGCCTATTCTCACGCTAGACTGTCTCTTCTTACAGGGTTTAACCGAGCTTGTCGTATTGTGATTTTGAAGGGTGTAATAACGACTTATGTGCACCATATCTTAAGGCAAAGCACAATTTCCATAGTGAAAGAAAGATCGTCAACTTCCGGATCTATTTCCAAAAATACCGGTGACATCCATATCAGTCTCCAGAAAGATCGGTGACCTCCGTATCACGGTACGAAAATATCGGTGACTTCCGTATCAGTGTAAAAAAAGATCGGTGACTTCCGTATCAGTGTAAAAAAAAGATCGGTAACTTGCGATTCACTGTACAAAAACATCGGTGACCTCCGTATCACTGTACCAAAACAGTGACCTCCGTATCACTGAACCTAAACATCGGTGACTTCCGTATTACTGTACCAAAACATCGGTGACCTCGTATCACTGTACAAAAACATCGGTGACCTCCGTATCACTGTACCAAAACAGTGACCTCCGTATCACTGAACCTAAACATCGGTGACTTCCGTATTACTGTACCAAAACATCGGTGACCTCGTATCACTGTACCAAAACATCGGTGACCTCCGTATCACTGTACCAAAACATCGGTGACCTCCGTACAAAACATCGGTGACCTCCGTATCACTGTACCAAAACATCGTTGACCTCCGTACCACTGTACCAAAACAGTGACCTCCGTATCACTGAACCTAAACATCGGTGACTTCCGTATTACCGTACCAAAACATCGGTGACCTCCGTATCACTGTACCAAAACATCGGTGACCTCCGTATCACTGTACCAAAACATCGGTGACCTCCGTATCACTGTACCAAAACATCGGTGACCTCCTTATTACTGTACCAAAACATCGGTGACTACGTGTTACTGTACCAAAACATCGGTGACCTCCGTATTACCGTACCAAAACATCGGTGACCTCCGTATCACTGTACCAAAACATCGGTGACCTCCGTATCACTGAACCTAAACATCGGTGACTTCCGTATTACTGTACCAAACCATCGGTGACCTCGTATCACTGTACCAAAACATCGGTGACCTCCGTATCACTGTACCAAAACATCGGTGACCTCCGTATCACTGTACCAAAACATCGGTGACCTCCGTATTACTGTACCAAAACATCGGTGACTACGTGTTACTGTACCAAAACATCGGTGACCTCCGTATCACTATACAGTTCACTGACTTCTGTGTCACTGTACGAAGTGAACGTTGACTTGTCTAGAAGGTAGTGATCTGTACTAGCCCTTTCGGGTTATCGGTAATTTTGTATAAAATAAAAAAAAAAGATTTTTGTGTATCTTCAGCGACGTCAAAAATGTTATTATAGTGACACTGTTTAGATTATACGCGTGTAATTGCTTGTTCTTTAACATATTGAAATTTTACGAAATTTGTCTTCGTTTTCATTTACCTGATCATCTGTATTTTAACGTTTGTTTCGGCTTCAATATTTCCAGGCATGGGGCTTCACTGGCATGTCCCAGAAGGAGGACAGTTGTTTGATGCTTTCTTATTCATTTATATTCCGCATATATAGACTTGATATGCCTTTGCCACGTTTGTAATAAAATTTTCATTCGCTTTTGGTTTTTGTACAACTCTTTCAACACAGTCTCACCAAGACGTGAACATGAATCCGGAAGGACACGTTCATTTTGTAACGCACATGCGCATCGTTAAATTTGAATCATTATCTAACTTTGTTGTTGTCATGTCGTCTTGCCTTTGGTGTTCTTCTATTTACCATAAAAAGACGTCTATTTTGGTAGTTGGGCAAAGAGTCGAGCTGTTTTGACGGCTTTTGTTTTAGAATGGCCAGAACCCATTGGTGTAGATTCATAGCGGTTAGGGTAAGGTAGTAACAAATAAGTGTTATTGAGTTAGGAGTGTGAAATGGTACATAAATGTATCGGCGAAACGGCGTATATGACAAGTTCTTTAATCTTTCACATCAACAGCGCTGGTCATAATCACATTAAGTAAAACTGTTTAGGATGTTTCTCTGACGTCATAATCGAGCCTTTAAAAGGGAGAGCGGAACACAGACTTGGGCAGTTAGACCGACTGAAATTTCAACATAGATCTAAAACATGGAAAAGTTTTAGGGCATCGGTACCGTCAACTACTGGATTTTATCACTGTTTAAGTGCACATAATTAAATGGATAACGTCATTTAATTACATATGTCACCATCAGCTCGGACGATCCAGTTTCATGACAAAATAGGACATTGGGAAAGTTCTCGGAAGATAAAAAAAGTCATCCTTGGAGCAATAAAAGACGACACTACAGCATGATCATGGCTATGGATTAACAAATACACTGTTTGATTAGTCACTTAGTCTGGAACGTCTCTTAACGGAACAAGCTCAGAATTAATCACGGTTACATAAGAAAAAGGCACGTGTATTGTTCTTATATCCCACGTGTAAATAACAACAGCAGAGCTTATCACTAGTTCATTCCAATTCTGAATTCAACGTGTTATGTTTCGACTTCTGAATTTATTGATATACAATGGTAGACTGTAAAATAACTTTCTGATTGTCTTTTGCATTGTTCTGTTTGCGGGAAGGGAACACATAGTAATCTGACTGCATGATATCTAATCATATTCTAAATCAAAAGTGATAATATATTGTTAGTTATATATGTATGTGCTGCGGTACTGTGTTTTCACATAAAGTATTTATATGTAGTGTGTATGTTGGTATTTTAAATGTTGTCCTTTCTCTTTTACAGGCGAAGTAATGGCCGGCTTGACTGGAGTCAGCCATTCGTGCAGTACACAGTAATTAGTCGTGATAGCAGGTGAAAGGATAACACATTAATCGTCCGTAAACACAGCGCCAACAATGGAATCGGAATTACCCAACCGCATTCGAGTTAAACTTTTCAAACGCCACGAGGATGGCTTAGGGTTTTTGATTAAGCCCCGTACACAGAAACCGTTTGTGGCAGTATCAGCTTTAGTAGCTGGGGGGTTAGCTGAGCAGAGCGGATTGGTCCACATAGGTGATACTGTTTTACGAGTTAATGAAATCGACATTTCGGAAAGGAGTTATGATGACGCTGTTGAGTTATTAAAGGCTCTTCCAGTTGACGCCCCTGTTGCATTAATCCTTCGCGGACCTGACGGCTATTCTACTCACCTGGAAACTACCTTTCGAGAGAACGGTGTACCAAGAACAATCCGAGTCACTCGAAAGGTTGTCAACAATGACTCCATCGTAAGCAGAATCCGGCGGACCTTCTCTAGAGCATCGTCTGCTTCACCGAACAGGAATGAGGGGCGAAGTCTCAGCCCGTGTCGGAATCGGTCCAGACGGTTAGAGGATAAACGTACAGAAGGCTGTTTTGTGGACAATCAGTGCTGCATTTGTGATATTGACCAAAATTTTCCAATTGTTCCAAACTGCAATGGTACGTCATACAAAAATCAGCGGTACCAAGTAAAGGACGCCGAATCGCAAACAAAATCAAACTCGCCAACAATCATGAGCAAGAATAACTCGACCATGAACCACTGTGATCATTCTCCTACAATTGTGGTGACTCGCCCCGCGAGTCAAACTGACTCGGACGTTACGGACGCAGACGTCAAATTACGCGGTAGATTATCGAACACGGACCGGCCAACGACGGTGGTGACACCTGGTGGCCATATCGACCAGCATGACAATAAAAAGATTGAAATTCATCAAAATACGGAGAAAATTACAGTGGTGGTTAAGGAGAACGGAGATTTGAGTAAAAAACATAAAGGAAATATGTCTACAGGTAAGGAAAATGGCGTGATTGAAAATAACAAGCTACTTCTAAATAGTGTGATGGATAATAAGTCTACATTGATAACAAATGGAGAGCATTCCGAGGACCGAGCCAAGCAGAGGAGAGACAGTTTCAGTAATATCAACTTATACAGTCCGACCTCCCAAAGGAGGCGTTCGTCCATGGCAGCGGTCAGCCCCAAAAAATACGTGAAACTGAGAAATTACGCCGACGAAAAACAAGTATTCACTGATACTCTGCACACCAAAATATCCCAGGTAAGTAGGTTTGATCTGTAGGTAATGTCCTTACAATATGTCGTGTGCATTAAGACAGTGTGACGGAGTTTTAGGTCCTTCCTATGGACTTATAAATAAGAGTTGTAACATGCTGGGGTTCCGTTCGATACCTATAATCCTGTTTGACATATCAGCTTTAGAACCATATCATTGACTAGGTGTGTTATATACATAAGCATGGGATAGCCTTTAATGTATGTTAATATACACTGATTTTATTCTCTTTGATGCCGTGAAGTATACCTCCATGGAATAGGTTTACAAAGACATATCATACTTTGCGATATTTTCGCCATCTTTGTTTTTGGTGACAATAAATACAACATATTACGGAACTTTTTGTGTAACCATTTACAAATTAAAAGACAAACTCCGTTTTCTTGGAGTTAAAATTTAGTGTACAACGTGCGCGCAAAAAATGCACGTACAGGACAAAAATATATATAGATAAAACTGCGACACATATTATAAAACATAACTAGAATAACACAGCGGATGATGTAGGGAATATCCATATGATAAATAAAATGCCTTGTTTCTGCTTTCATTGACAGATTTGTTTCGTGTTTATTCCTAAATACGATGTATCAAATAAACCCTACAACAAACTACTTTATTTGGTATGATAAGCGACTTTTAATACCGTGTATGGTTTGATAAACGATTTCAGAATAAGGGATCATTTTTAATATGATTAGACTGTAGTACTAAAATGCTTCTTAACAATTCTGTCCGGGAAAAAATCTCCACTCAAAAAGGAAAAACAATAAGGTTTCTCTAAGAGTCTTTCTACATCTTGCTTTATCCAATAAGGTTTTTATGTAAATGTAGAAACTTTATATAATAGTATTTTGACGAAATGCTTTAAATACTAAGGGTTGGATGAAATGCTTTATACACTAAGGGTTGGATGAAATGCTTTATACACTAAGGGTTGGATGAAATGCTTTTAACACTAAGAGTTGGATGAAATGCTTTATACACTAAGGGTTGGATGAAATGCTTTTAACACCAAGGGTTGGATGAAATGCTTTAAACACTAAGGGTTGGATGAAATGCCTTATACATTAAGAGTTGGATGAAATGCTTTGTACACAGAGGGTTGGATGAAATGCCTTATACACTAAGGGTTGGAGGAAATGCTTTAAACACTAAGGGTTGGATGAAATGCTTTATGCACGAAGGGTTGGATGAAATGCTTTATACACTAAGGGTTGGATGAAATGCTTTATACACTAAGGGTTGGATGAAATGCTTTGTACACAGAGGGTTGGGTTAAATGCTTTATACACTAAGGGTTGGATGAAATGCTTTATGCACTAAGGGTTGGATGAAATGCTTTAAACACTAAGGGTTGGATGAAATGCCTTATACACTAAGGGTTGGATGAAATGCTTTATGCACGAAGGGTTGGATGAAATGCTTTAAACACTAAGGGTTGGATAAAATGCTTTATACGCTAAGGGTTGGATGAAATGCTTTATGCACGAAGGGTTGGATGAAATGCTTTATACACTAAGGGTTGGATGAAATGCTTTGTACACAGAGGGTTGGGTTAAATGCTTTATACACTAAGGGTTGGATGAAATGCTTTATGCACTAAGGGTTGGATGAAATGCTTTAAACACTAAGGGTTGGATGAAATGCCTTATACACTAAGGGTTGGATGAAATGCTTTATACACTAAGGGTTGGATGAAATGCTTTAAACACTAAGGGTTGGGTGAAATGCTTTAAACACTAAGGGTTGGATGGAATGCTTTATACGCTAAGGTGTTGGATGAAATGTTTTAGACACTAAAGGTTGGATGAAATGCTTTTTATACACTAAGGGTTGTATGAAATGCTTTGTACAGAGAGGGTTGGATAAAATGCTTTATGCACTAAGGGTTGGATGAAATGCTTTAAACACTAAGGGTTGGATGAAATACTTTAAACACTAATGGTTGGATGAAATGCTTTTTACACGAAGTGTGGATGAAATGTTTTATGCACTAAGGGTTGGATGAAATGTTTTAAACACTAAGGGTTGGATGAAATGTTTTAAACACTAAGGGTTGGATGAAATGTTTTAAACACTAAGGGTTGTATGAAATGTTTTATACACTAAGGGTTGGATGAAATACTTTATACGCTAAGGTGTTGGATGAAATGCTTTAAACACTAATGGTTGGATGAAATGCTTTTTACACGAAGTGTGGATGAAATGTTTTAAACACTAAGGGTTGGATGAAATGTTTTAAACACTAAGGGTTGGATGAAATACTTTATACGCTAAGGTGTTGGATGAAATGTTTTAAACACTAAGGGTTGGGTGAAATGCTTTTTATACACTAAGGGTTGTATGAAATGCTTTGTACACAGAGGGTTGGATAAAATGCTTTATGCACTAAGGGTTGGATGAAATGCTTTAAACACTAAGAGTTGGATGAAATGCTTTTTTTACGCTAAGTGTGGATGAAATGTTTTATGCACTAAGGGTTGGATGAAATGCTTTGTACACAAAGGGTTGGATGAAATGCTTTGTACACAGAGGGTTGGATGAAATGTTTTATGCACTAAGGGTTGGATGAAATGCTTTATACACTAAGGGTTGGATGAAATGCTTTATACACGAAGGGTTGGATGAAATGCTTTGTACACAGAGGGTTGGATGAAATGCTTTGTACACAGAGGGTTGGATGAAATGTTTTATGCACTAAGGGTTGGATGAAATGCTTTGTACACTAAGGGTTGGATAAAATGCTTTGTACACAGAGGGTTGGATGAAATGTTTTATGCACTAAGGGTTGGATGAAATGCTTTATACACTAAGGGTTGGATGAAATGCTTTGTACACAGAGGGTTGGATGAAATGCTTTATACACAGAGGGTTGGATGAAATGTTTTATGCACTAAGGGTTGGATGAAATGCTTTGTACACTAAGGGTTGGATGAAATGCTTTGTACACAGAGGGTTGGATGAAATGCTTTAAACACTAAGGGTTGGATGAAATACTTTAAACACTAATGGTTGGATGAAATGCTTTTTACACTAAGTGTGGATGAAAAGTTTTATGTACTAAGGGTTGGATGAAATACTTTGTACACTAAGTGTGGATGGAATGCTTTGTACACAGAGGGTTGGATTAAATGCTTTGTATACTAAGGGTTGGATGAAATACTGTATACAATAGGGATTCAGTGTTAGATAGAAGGTAGAATTCGAGGATTTGTTCATTGTGCAGTAATGTATTATATACAGAACTCTCAACAAAATGTAAAAAAGATAGGGATTTAACATTTATCCTGGAGTTTTATCAATATTCACCAGGCCTATACCTAGACTATTAATTCATAACCAACCACGTTTTAGTGTTTATGACGACATGGTCCGGATTTTACTTTGTGCATTGATGATGTTTTATTTTTTTTAAACTCCACTAAATACTTTGTATTTAATTATTACAAAATAGAGCTTCATCAGAAGTTAAGGAGATTTATTTAACATCACACATGTACAACATGATAACATTGACAACACGGTGCTATCGACAAACAACAAACCTACTGCATACATCTGTTACATATTTATAATGTTTGTTTAGTATATAAATATAGGTAAGCTATGGTCCTCCATCAGTACATTATATATCTTATAAGGTAAGTTTTACATCCCTAAAGGACAACAGTGTAGAAGAGTTTAGGTACGGTAAATATTAACCACGACATTTAAGTTTGAACGTAATTTACATTAAAGTAACGGCAAGCCTGACTACCCATAATTAGATACACGTGTCAGGAAGTAAAGTTTATAAAAAGTTTATTTACCATCTACATGAGGACTGTGCGCAAACCAATAGCATCTTTCAATGCAAATTTATAATTGCTGATGGTGGAACCAGATAATGAAGTAAACTGCATCATACAGCTATTTTTACGTTGTGGGACTAAGGGGCTAAAAATTTTGGAACCTAAAAGGCGAGCGAGTAGACTTTATCAGACAATGAGTGCAACCAAACACGGAGTCAGTTCTGGTATTGACGTTACTTGTATCATTGATTAATTTTCATGTCTTTAATTTCATTGTACACCATCATCCTAGTGAATAACTAAATAAATCGCATTATTGACAAAAATCGATGAAAAAGGAAAAAAATCACAAGGAATTTTGCGTCCAATAGTACAGGTGTAGCAACAGCTGGTAACGAAAGCGAGCACGCGTCACAAACACTGTGTCAGCCTAAATATATCACCTGTGTAGTAAACAGAACTGAGTCAACATTTATTAAGAAACAAACCAGCTTCAGTTACACTGATTTACCAGTGGTAAAAAAGAATCACCTTAAAGATATTATCAACGATACGATCAAGTTTAACATTAACAAAGTTTTACTTAATATCATAAACTTTGTGAAGATGAAATTACCATGAATATATCAGTAGTAATACTTTTTTCCATGAAGATAGACTCCAACATACACGACTCAGTGATGTTATAAATGATCAGTGATACAAGCTTCCAGAAGACGGACTGATTTTCAGTTTAATAAGTTGTACAAAAATTAAATAAAGAACCCTAGCAATACGTTTTTCCTGAAGAATCAATCCAGATATATTGTTAGTGATCCAAGCTTCACGAAGACTTGGTCAACAGAAATATTTCTGACAAAACAAAGCCTTGGTAAGCTGAAATATTTCCATCAATACAAGCTTCAAAAAGATTTTGTCAATTTTTTTTATGGAAACATTTCCACCCATACAAGCTTCCTGAAGACGACGTCAATTCAGATTAAATTGGATAAACCTAGATATTTCAACCAATGCAAGCTTCCTGGAGACGCCGTCAATTCAGATAAACTGGGTCATCCTAAATATTTCCATCAATGCTAGCTTCCTTAAGAGAGCATGGGCCTGCCTACATTATCTTCGATAAAACTGTTCACAAAAACTGGGTCAACTTGCGATACAAGATTTAGGAACCAATATAAATTACTTTCT